GAGGATCAAGGAGAAGGCGAGGAAGGAAAAGGAGGAGGCGGAGCAGAAGCAGAAGATGACCAAGGAGGAACACTTGAAGGAGAAGAAGAAGCGGTTGAATAGGGAGAAGAAGCTCAAGAGGAGACAGAAGGAGAAGGAGAAGAAGATGGCAGGCAAAGCGGGAAGTTCGGTGGGTGATGCCATGTCTGCGGTTGGGCAGGATTCGGATTCGGAGGGGGATGAGAAGGAGAATAAGATAGTTGAGTAACCGACTTGTTGGTGGTGGGTTGATAATTGCCTGTATGCTCGTGGTGATGCTTGGGGAGTTGAAGATAATGCATCTAAAGCGATGACTGCCTCTTGTAGACAAAGGAACCCCTGAAGCCCTGTAGCCACGCTCTCGGTATGGTACCTACTTCCCAGGTTCATACGGGGGATAATCCGAGCACTCAGCGTTTTGGCGGTACTCAGCCCTCATATTATGTACACCTCCTCCGTCTCAAGTGAAGCACCCCAAAAAAGAGTAGTACGGTTAGCTATCCATCAAGGTTCTGCACTTGTTGAGCCACAAGCAGGTGTCGGTGGAGGCACAAGTATCGAGGCAATGGCATCGCATTGTAACTCGACCAATCACAGGCGGCAGGCGGTACCTAACGCGGCAGGGACGACGCGGCAAGCTCTCCGCATCATTTCAGCTCTTCTCACTGTAGCAACTGCAGTGCATGCAGTTGAGCATGAGGAAAGAGTATCTTGAATTGATTTCTTCCATGAATCATCATCTGGACATGTTTTCTTCTTGATATTCTCGGTCAGCACCAATCGTACAGTATCATCAACAAACATGAGGTAGCCTTATTGACGAGTTACGACAAACCTCCAACCCCTGAAAACACCCCGATTTCTTCAGTTTAGCGGTCTTGTCACTGGCACTCGCAGTTGCAGCCGCCGTCTGCCCCACCATCCACAACCCTCCATGACCATGATGAACGCGCTCTGGTCGAGAAGCACCTCCTCTTCCGGCGACAGCGCAGAGAAAAGCGCCAAACCGGCCAGCGATGCAGTGAGCACCACTTCCGAACAAGTGGCCGATCTCTCGGACAGGCCAAATGCGCCAGCCCTACCAGCTCGCCCGGCCCTCCACAGAAACCAGCCTTCGGCCCCTCCTCCAGCAGCACCGTCGAACCCTCCGCCGCCAGTGCCCTCCGGTGCTGGCTCCGGCAACGCCAACAATGCGTCGGCGCAACCTCAGGACTCCCTATCTCTAGCCCAACTACGAAGGATCGTTGCCGAGTTCCCCAAGTCCGAGCCGATCGCCTACGACTATGTCTACACTGATGTGGGCCCCATCGAGGAGGAGGTGGACGAGTGGTTCCTCTATAACTTCTGGCAATGGGTGCGCCTGAACACGGCCAACCGGGCCTTTGACAGCACATGGGAAAGCATGTTCGGGGAGGATGAGACCTGGGACAGTGTCGGAGACGACGACAGGCAGAGGTTCGTGCGGAACGCCGTCCAACAGTTGCAGACGTCAACCGACAAGACGGCCCGCGGCGAGGCTATCGGCACGCTCGTGTACATAGTGTTGGGACGTTGGGCCGAGACTGTCAAGGCAGCGAGCCTGCCCAATTTTGCGGACCACAAGGTCAGGTCCGCCGCCACCAAGGAGCAGCTGGATGCCATGAAGGCAGGCGTCAAGCTGCTCGCGGAGTGTGGTGGCATTCCTCCCATGTGGGATGCGCTGAGGAAGGCCTTCGAGCCATTCTGGGCGGACGACGGAGACGTTGGCCAGATAGTGCAGGCCTATGCCGAGGAGCTGATGCATTTGATGACCATTTTGTACATCTCTTTGCAAACGACGCTAGACGACCTTGAGGATATGGCCTCGGCCCGCAAGGAACTACGTACGAGGTCCCTTTTAACACATGGCGGCGCTCTGTTAAGTTGCTAACATATGGCAGTTGCACTCAACCCGAATCTGGTTCACTTCATGTTGCATGCCACGGCAAAACTTCGATGGGACGATAGGAACATTCTCCCCCAAACCCAGGTCGGTTCAACTACCTTTGGAATCCCGGGCGCGGCCAACCAACATCGAATGCTCATGAGTTCCCAGGTTTTCCTCTTGTTCTGGAAGTCACTTCTCCTTGTTTTCGGCGGTTCCAAACACATCGCGGAGGCCAAAAAGGCTACGGCGGAAACACCTTCCGACGTTAAGGACAAGGAAATCATTACTGCTTCCCCGCTCGATTACCATGTGTTCCGGCAAGAGATCACATCCAAGTATCCGTCATATATCCCGCCCCAATGTGCCATTCCCCTCGAGGCAGAGCAGACGTCAATCCTTCCTCCGCTACCTAACCACCCAACCAGGAACAATGGACAAAACGGTATCCTTCCCGGCCCACCAAACCAGAGCGCCTCCGCCTCGATTCTCCATCAGCCGGTTCACATCGCGACTCCTGCGCCCTCCCCTCCTCCGAGCCCGGGTGTCGGTGGTAAAGGTGGTAAGAAGCAAAACTACCAGACTAACCAAAACTTTCCGTTTATGTATCCGCCCTTGGACGCCACCAGCAACAGCGCTGGCGGAAAGGGAGTTGCCGGACTACAGGACCTGTTGGTAGGCAGGAAGTGGGAGGGAAGCGATGTTCCCGCCTCCATTATCGAAGCTGGCGAACTATTCTCCACGCGAACCAGGATGACACGAGCTACCAGGCAGCTCTGGGAAGAGCGCGAGAGATTCCTCAAGTTTGAGCGTGGATGGGAAGGTGTCGATGAGGACCTCATTGACGAACTCGATCTCTCAGAACTTACACTTGAGGAGAAGGAGGAGCTGGGCTTACTGAAGGAAAGCGACAAGAAGAGAGATAAGCTCGGCCACGAAATCGACTTGGGACCACGGCCTGTGGATGATGATATCAAACATCGTCTTGAGGCCGTCGAGGAGTTCTATGTAAGTCTTGATGAGTGACTTATGCTTCTGTCTTACGGTACTTGCTGACTCTGCTACTCTTTACAGAAAGAGGCTCTCCCTCATCTGCAGTCACTAGTCATTGTGCTGCTGAAGGCGATTGTTGCTATCGCCAGCAGTCTAGTTCAGCCGCAACCTGGACAGCAAAATCCTGGTGCCCCGCAGAACAATGGGCGTGTTAGCGGAGGGCCGCCCCAGGGTCGGGGTCAAAGTAATGTCAACAATGCTGGCAACGACCCTCCCTCCCCCTCGGATGACAATGTAGATGAGGCTAGGAGCAGAGAAATTGCGGCGAAGGCCGTGACAGGCATCATGATCCTATTGTTGAAGTGGCTAAAGCTGTCTCGTAAGTAATCATGCGACCAAGACCAGCACGACCGCATCGCTGACGATCGAGTGTCCAGATATCCTCAAGTTCGAGTACTTCACACAGCTACTCTTGGACTCTAATTATCTTCCTCTAGTGCTGAAGCTGTTTGCTCTGCATGATGTGCAGCAGGTGGTTGAGAGCAAGACCGACAGGATAGAGCACAGGTGAGATTGCTTCGTCTCCTTGGCGAAGTACACTACCTCCGGAAATATCGGTTGCTAACTCATCATGACCAGTTTCTTCTACTTCTGTGGTTCCCGTGCCGGCGCAATTTCCCAGCAGGGTCTCATCAACCCAACCGCGACCGACTTCGAAGACGTTGATGTGAGCGAAGACGAAGCGGCGCCTCCCGCCATTAAGAGAAACCGTTCACCTCCTGGCGCAGAAAAGGGAGGACCACCCGACGCTTCATCCCAATTCATATCCTCGCAACCGCCCCAACAACAACAGTCAGAAAACTCGGGCGTCCCCAGCCGCCCCGAGGTCGACGAGCTCGGCTACCCCGTCAACCCGCTTCCCAAAGAGCCCATCACCGACTTCTCCCGCCGCAACTTCTTCTCCCTGATCAATTACCTGCGCGTGATGCAGAAAATCTGCAAGCACAAGGCCCACCGCAACCTCCTGCTGGTGCACTACAAGTCCTCCAACATCCTGCGCAAGTCCCTCAAGGTGCCCCAGCAGGAACTCCGCCTCTACACGCTCAAGCTCTTCAAGAACCAGGTCCCCTACTGCGGCCGCAAGTGGCGTCAGTCCAACATGCGTGTCATCACCGCTATCTACCTGCACTGCCGCCCCGAGCTGCGCGACGAGTGGCTATCGGGCTCGGATGTCGACGCCGAGGTCGAGGAGGCGCTGCCGCTCGAGCAGGCGCTCAGGAGCCTGACGCACTGGTTCAACGTGCAGCGGTATCCCGAAAGGATGGGCGCCGAGGTGACGGCGGCGATGAGGGAGGAGAGAGATTTTTTCACGAGGGAGCTGGAGAAGAGTGATTGGATGGGATGGGAGGGGATCATGGCTGGAGGAGGGATGGGGATGGATGGTGCTGGTGGTGCTGAGCCGATGATGGGGATGCCCGGAATGGGAATGGGCATGGGAATCGGTGGATTGCCCGGTATGGGAGGCATGGCGGGGATTGAGTATGCGGCTGCTGCTGCGGCGGCGCAGACGGAGCATGAGAGCTCGATGGGGTGGAGTTAGGGTTCCTTACTTGACCATGATCTTTCTGCTCTGGGCGAAATTATGCTTGAATTGAAGGAATCGGGTATAGGGCTTGATGATGCTGATACTATTATGCGTCTTGCTTCAGCACGCATCGGGACGTTGAGGGCTTTGGAGGCGTTGAGTCACATGGGGGAAGAGAGACGGGTTTGGGTAAGGGGACGAGGATGGCGGACCTTCTCCGTTAAAGATTAAATGATGTTATATAGTCAAGTGGATGCGACGAGGATGTCAATCATCCCGCAGCGTTCTCCTAACACCTTGAGGTCTCCAGCGGAACTATTGATTGGGAATTAGTTGTAACATCAGTCACACTGGTTATTGTTATGTTCGCTAATTGTTCAGAGAGCCGAGGCGGACAGGACGGACTAACTTCTGATCTGCTTTCATTGGGACTGAAAGTCCATGGCTAATGTTATTAGGCCAAGCTACATCTAATACAATGAAGAGGGGGGGGAGGGGGGGGGGGGGGGTCCTCGTAACATGAAATGGCGGTCCAGGCTGGCTGGCCCTTTCCAGCAAAAACTCGCTTTCTGTCATTGGGGGCAGGAAATACACTTTGAATCGCGATCCCTGGTCTCTTCGTTTTTTTTTAGAGATAGATCTTCAGGACGTTGTTATTGTTTTTCAAAGAAGGGGTATATCGGAGAACATCAGTAGTAAAATGGCAACAACAATGACACAAGAAAAGACCAAAGGCCCAGTTATCTGTTTGAATCTAGTTTTTTTTTTTTTTCTTATTGCTTCTTTCTTTCTTTCTTCTCTGCTGGGGTATCCAAGATATTGATTATTCACCACGTAATACTCGTTTTCCTTGTCTTCAAATCCATCTGACCGTTTCGCAACCCTCTCGTGCCAAGCTGGACCGTAGCCGTCCGCTTGTGCAAGTCAAACTCCACCGCCCTCACCATCACGCGCCGTTCCTCCGGGATGATGACCTTTGGCGGCGGCGGCGCAAACTGCCGCTGCTGCTGCTGCTGCTGCTGCTGCTGCTGCTGTTGTGTTGGCCAAATGTAGTGAGTTCTGCTCCCGGACGCCGTAGTGTTGGTGCTGGTGCTGGAAGTGGAACTCCCCGTCCGCCTTCCCCATCTCGTTGGCGCAATCCCATTCGCACTCCCGTTACTATCAGACCGGACCACTCCGGATTTGCTTCCACTTGCTGCACCGTCCATGGTGTCCACCACGGCAGACTCATCCATAGTCATAGACATGGGCATGGACATGGACATCTGCGAATAGCTTGCCACGGGACTGCTACCTGGCGTGACGATCATGCTGAAATCATCCGACTCCTCAATCTCCGTGATCCACATGCCGATCCTCGCCGTCAGCTCGCTATCCCACATGGCCTCTCTCCGAGCACTACTGCGGAGGAGCTGGATAGCTTGCCTTCGAATCACCGGGTCGCGGCACTTGGTCGCTACCACGAACAGCGGCGGCACTATCCCGAGGTCGGCACTGAAGCTCGGCTTGATATGCCGGGCCGCATACTCATTATGCCCACCAAACATGTCTCGCGCTCGCTCGTAGCTGGTATTGTGGCCATGGCCGTGCCGGCAGAAATCCGGATCGGGGCAGCGCTTGGCGGCTGCCCGCCGCTCTTCGTCGCCTACTACTTCCAGGGCTAGGTCGACAATGGTCTTGAAGTAGCTGTTGAAGTTGTCAAACTGCATCTCACTGGCGTTGAAGGTCATGAGAAAAAGGATCAAAGCCATGATCTGGAACATTTTCAGGACGGCGATGGCGGCCTTTTCCTGGGTGGTCACGCTGGGGGCTGTCCGCGACTGGAGGATGGGCTCGAAGGCTTCCGACCAGGCGTCGAGATCCTGCTTGAAGCCGAGGCCGTACCGCTTGAGATTCGGTGGTAAAAGCCCCATGGGACCGTTCGGGACGTGCTTGAACATGGTCTCGGTGAACTTGAATATGCGCTCGCATAGCTTGTCCCACGCGACACGAGCTTCTATGACGGAAGCGAAGCGGTCTGGGATGGGATCTGGGAACTGAGAGCCGGGAGAGCTAACATCGGAAGCTGGGGATGAAGGGTCCTGCTCGATCGGTGTCAAGCGCACAACGTAAGGCTGGGGGAAGTGGAAAGCCATGTCGTAGGACTTGGCTTGGATTGCCAACCTGGTGAACATCTGGATCAGCTCGTCTTCCACGGGCTCGCCCGGCTGGGTGATGAAGGCCCGCCTCCTTTCGGCCCGCAGCTTCTCGAGCAATTGAAGTCCTGTCTGGATCTGGAAAATGGCCTGTTTGTGGTCGCCAACGAACGAGTCGAAGCATGCTAGCAGCACGCTTGCCATCAGTCTCGTCCGGTTAGACATGGGATCTGCCGTATTGATGAGCGAGCGGATGGCCTCATGGTATTGCTCCAGAGCCATTCGGAAATGCGTCATGGCAAGGTCGGTGGGGTCTCGATCGCTGGCTGGTGAGCCCGGCGGCGACTCACTCGTCTTCTCTAAAGTCTTGTACAGGGCACCTAATGCCACGACGGCGTGGCGGATCGTCGGCTCGAAGTGGCATTCTTGTAGGACAGTTCGCGACCAGAAACCAGAATCGAAGAATCCCGAAAGCTCGTTGGCAGTATGTTCGCGGAACAACTGGAAATACAAGCCCTCCCTGTCGGTAAATGGCACATTCGCGGCCGGCGATCGGTGGAGTGTTACGGCGGTGGCGGCAGACTCTCGTGGTGTTTGCGGAGGTGTGTGTCGTCTTTGGTACTTGGTCACTCGGCGTGGGGCAAGTTGGATGGGCGCATCACGGCCAGGAAGAGGTGTGGGTGGTGCCGGTCCTGGTTTCGGCGCAATCTTGATTACTTCGGATGGCCTCGCGCTCCGGGGCGGAGGTGGGTAGCCTGTGCAGACCTTCCTGGAACGAACACAGTTGGAACACGCCGGCCGCTTTTCATCGCATTTAATTCTCCGCAACCTGGCCGTGAAGGGCTTGTTAGCATCTTGTTCATGCTTTCAAGGTACCAATCTGCATGCACTTATGCATCAATTTTCTGCGCCCGCAAGGCACTGTACGTACTTGCAGTTGCTGCAACCCGTCTTGACTTTTGGCTTGCTTGTCCTCGCCCGCTTTGGCCTTTGTGAAGCGTCAACTGCTGTGTCGTTCATAGCTGATATTGCGATCATGTCGGATGAAAGACTAGAGAATTGAGGAGAGTGGCCAAGTTCTGGTGATGATGACATGAAGCCGGCGTTTACTCGTCGATCTCTCGAAGTTGATTGGCGCTATTCGATTTCGGTCTGGGGGTTAACGCATGTGTCAAGTAACGGCATCGCAGTCGTTCAAGACTCGAAGAAATAGACCGGATTCGTCCCCGTGTATATGTATCGGACCGCCGCGCGCAAACAGTAGGTAAGGATGTGTATGTAGTCTATGTCGTCGAATTCGGGATGAAGTGGAACTGCTGGCGATCAGACGCACGTACGAACTAACAACGACGGGATGGATCTGGCTTGTTAGTAGCTGGTAGCAAGCAGCCAGCAGCGAGGTGATACGCCGACGTCGGTGTCACTCTTGCAAGATTTGTGTGTGGAAGAAACGGAAACAAACAAGAGAGAGGCCAGGATGGGAGCAGCTGTGGCGGATCCCGGACTTCTTAAAGACACCCTCATCGGCCATGTCTGGGAGTGTCCGAGGACGGGACGAGAAGGGTCAGATCAAGGGGGGGAAGAGCTTCTTACACGTAGTGTAGTGTAAGTAGTGTACTACACCTCTCTGCTGGGATACAACTTGTTAGCGTGGTTTGTCAAGGTGGCAATGAACCTTCGATTTAGGCACATGAAATAGCCAGTTCGTCATCAGCCCGCCCCCTGTTTCTTGTAGTGCTCCCGTACCTAGCTAGCAAGTAACGTCCTAGCAGATGTGTAGTCTACACGTGTGGTTCGTCCTGTGCTACGCTACTGTAATGACCAGGGGTGACATGCGCTACCATATGCAGGCCGCCATTCCGCCACGCTGCCCTACCCATTTGACCCATGCTTTATTAAACGGGTCTGTAAGAGGCATGTAACGGTAACGAACTATGTGCTGTAAGTATTCTCGTGCGAAACAATATAAAAATTCGAATCCGTATAGGGACGCCAAGATAGGAAACAAGTCCCTCACGACTCTCGCTTAAGAGAGAGATGAATGAGTCTCCAAAAGCCAATGTGTAATGATATGAGATATTCTTGGATTTGGGCGAGGAGCGTGTGTTGAGAGAAGCCATCCCAATGGGGGAAAACCTGGAGATGGGAAATGGGGTAAGTAGGTACATGATGCCTCCCTCCATCAGATCCCAAGATACTACTGAATGGATGGTGTTCACCCCGCGTTTCTTTTTTGATGGAGATCTCTTGGTGGGATTGAAGGCAAGGCAAGCAAAGCAAGACAAAGCAAAAAGGCAGATAATCATCATTTGCTCACAGGGAGCACGGAAAGAAATTCATAGGGTCACCGCTTCTGTTTGGCTTGTGGAACATGGGGTGCCACACGGCTGCAAGGTTGCCTCTGTGAGGGACAAGGATCTCACCGGGCTGTGTGCCGGTAGGCGGAGGCTAGCTAGTCCGGCCGCGCGCATTGGCTGCCCCGGCTTTCGAAATCATGTGCCGGCGTCTTCACTGCCATTCTCAGCACAACAAACACATGACGGCATGTTCGTGTCTTGCCAACTTGTTATCTCAACATCTAGCGCCCTGGAAGCCGCGCATGAGGAGTGTCGGCTGCTAGGGAAAGCAAGCCTTTCACGGGGCCACAGGATGTTTAAATCCGGCCGGAGCTTATCCGACTGCACTATAACCGACTTTTGTCCGAGTTTCCCCTAGGAATCGCACCTTTGCGCAACAAAGGGCAGCATGATAGTAACCGCGATGTGGCGGCAAAGGCTTGGATAACAGTTACAACGCAAGTCCGACAACGACCACGAGTTACCCCGGCATGTCTGTGTTACGAGAACCACCCATGGCTTGAGCTGATGAAGATCGACACATACAAGCATGGACAGACATTGCGCAAAATTGTGATGCGGTTTTGACGGTGACAGGCCGGAAGACTAGGGACACCACGGAATGACGGCGTAAGTAAAGAGGACCATGATGAATGACATCGATGGACGCTGTTGGGTGTGGGGGGTTGAAGAGTCGGTGATCCACTGATGATATGAATTCCGGCCGGCGTCGGCTCTGCCCTCCAGTCCAGCCCTACGACCCACAGGCGGCGGTGCGGCTTGGTTGGCTCGGATGAGCTCACTCATCGTGATGATTGGGCCATGACCTGGCTTGCTGCGCATTCTCAAGACAACAACGCATGTACGAACGGCACCCAGTCAGTCCCATTAACCCAAGAGGACGGACAGAGAATGTAGGTACATCGACTGCATACCCTTTCCCATGGAACAGGCTCTCAATGGCTAGCATCAGACCCTTCCCCCGTTGACTTGCAGTTCCTCATCAGCCCCAAGTTCAGGGTGATCGGTTCCCCGAAGGAATGGGTGGCCTCGCTAGGTGCGGCCGGGGGGCGTAGGCGAAGTGCACATTCCTGCGCAGTCTGACTTCTCACCAATGAAGAGCGAAGAGAGCAGGTGTCGATGGCTTCAGAAAGACAGACGTCAAAACCTCGATGATCTTGCGGCGAAGCTAGGACCCGTGCCATGTCTCCAGCACGACCAATCAACGAGCTTCCTCATATCTTCTGGCCTGGTCTTGACGCCCCAGTTTTCCAAGGCTTCGTCTGGGATTGTGCCTCCAATGATTTCCAGCTTCAGATGCCGAGCGATTGGCGGGGGTGTTAAATTGGCGGTATCTCGCAATCGAAGACGCTTATCTTGACAAAGGGCTCGGCAGGAAAGCAAGGCGGTAGATAGTTTCGACTGATCTCGAGCATCGTCGCCGCCGGGCTGCTTGCGTCGTGCTATCGAGCTTCTATGCAGGGTATCTGCTGGCGAGTTTCTCTTGAATGTGGGAAACTGGCCAGAATTGGCCAGAGCGGAGCCGAGCTGCGGCCGGTCACGGTGCGGGCAGCGGCCGGGAGCCGAGGTTTGTTTGCCAACAACCCCGTACCTGATACAGGGGGAAAGACAGCCATGAGGTCCACGAAGCTGGCTTGCATGTTTCGCCGTGCAGTCGAAATTGTCACTGCCGTAGTATGCCCGCCGGTTTCATCTTGATTGACATTTGATCCTCGGCAGTCATCAACCCGCTTGTCGTTGTTCCGGGCGTTTATATGAACCCGTACAGAGAGGCTCGTCGGGCCGGTGCATTGATCTCGAATAAACCAAAAAATCATGAAGCGCTAGTAAGAACATGTCCCAGTTCGCTGACAGCGAGGTCTGGGGCTACCGATGAGAAAGTCGGACATCTTCCCGTCTGGGGATTTTTGACTAGCCGCGCGGGCGAGGGGAGAAAAAGATAGGTTCCGCTGCGTCCTGTTTTGCTGGCTTACATCCCGCTGAGTAGTGCACTAAAATTCCAGTACGGGAGCTTGGCCCGAGCAGAACGCTGTCGGGAACTCCGAATGCCAATCGATCGTACCATCATACGAAAAGAAACGGTCAACTATTTTGCTAGTGTAGTGAGGTGACGGCTTGAATTCACTGGGGCCAAATGAAAAGCCGATGTTTGTATGAACCAAGCTTCTTGTTGTTGTCAGAATGGGGAGCAACTCAGGTCCTTCGTTTGGCTGCAAGGCAGTTTCAAGTTTTCCAGAGAGTTGTGATTCGTTCGACTAATGTACAACCGTTGATGGTGTTGCAAAGAAAGTGGCGGCCCAGACTCTTCCCCTCGTCGTCAAGAATGTGGGGTCGTTCGGTTATCAGTGCCCCTGATTGATTTCCAGATCTCATCCTTACATTGAACAAGATCGCCCATGATTGTTGATTGATATGTGCCTCCATGTTTTTTGTTTGATTAGCTCCAGCGTGATATCGAAATGAGCGGGATTTGGGAAAATTTGTCATGGCTGACCACCTCTACTCTTTACCCTTGGCTACCATCCGGCGTACCTTTGTAACAGTGCTAAGAGCAGCCCTGTGACAATATCCACCAAATCGCTGTTGTTCGTTCCGCTTGCAGCGAGTGGAATCTTGACAGCAACGGGCAGTCTTGTTTACATACATATCAAGATCCTCAACCCCGATATCTAGACGACAATCCTCGAGACAATTCATCCCCAAAAAGGTCCGGTCAGCCTTGCGAGGCATACTCGGACGTGTTCATGTCCCCAGGCCATTTTCATCGGGATCCCCGAGCCCGGTCCCTACCTCCAGGCGCATGTGGTCCCCAGCTCCCGGCCACCCGCCGTGTGGAATCGATCAAGTGTGGAGTCGAAACAGGCTTAGCACAGTGGCTTGGGGTCACTACTGTACATACTGCACTAGTGTAGTGTACGGGCAGGTACGTACAGTAGCGTAAGAATCTACCCTCTGTTACAAGCCAAGACCGGGACATTTCACTGGCAATGAAGTGTTTCTGTAAAGTTTCCGTTACGTTAGGTAGGAAATCGCGGATTTCAGTGCCGACTAGGATCCATTCTGTTACGCAACTCTTCCTCAACACCAAGAAATCCAAGCCACAATATCGGGGTCAATATATTGAAAAAAAAAAAAAACAGTCGGTCACAAAAACAAGACTTCGGGCCATATCCTTGGGCCAAGGAAAAAACATTGAAGGTTCATCGCGGGATCATTTCCGCATCGCATCGCGGAACTTGTTCCACTCGATACGGGGTATGGTCCAGCTTTCATCATCGCTCATACAACACCCAGAAGAGATATCGAAATTGCTCCGGCATAAGCCCGTAATAAGCTACGCAGTAAAGGCCCGGCCAACCTGCCGGCCGTAAACATCATGCCGGCTCCCACCCTAGCAGACATTGTCTTCTCGGAGCAAGCCAACCACAACTTCTCCAAGATCCTGGGAGATCTCAAGAAGTCGAACCTCTCCATCACGAATCGGCTCAAGTCCATACAGCACGATGCGGCCTTCGTGCACGAGGTAGCTGGTGTTCTCGGCCTTCCGCTCGTGGCTAATGAGCGATGCGGCAGCTGGTATATTGATCCCCAACTGAAGAGGTCGTCGGCTTACTTTAAGAGCACCGATGGGCACACGGGCCAGTGGAAGTTTAGCACGAGGAGGCTGAACTTTCATCTTTTGGAGGTCATTGGGCGGAATGATGGGTTTGTACACCCTGCGTATATCTTGTTGTTGCTGTGCAAGTTTTCGCTTCTCTTACACTAACAATCATGTCATGACCACCACCACAGATGCATCATCGTGGACTCAACCCGGCGAGGCAAGCGTAAGTATCCAATAAACTAAAACCTCCATATACCAACAAGCGAACCCCCAGGACTGACCGCTTATCCAGGCATGCCCGACGCCCTCAGCAAGACAATCCCAATCTGGTGCACCGTCCTTAACCAGGCCCTCTTCCCCTCCCACCCCCAATCCCACACCCTCCACGTCCCCCCCACTGTAGTCTCCTCCTCCGAGCACTCTCAAATGTCCTCCCGCCTTCCCTTCTTCCTCAACTCCCTCCTCGCTCTCCAACCCGATATCCCCTCCCTCCGCCAAAACATCCAGAAACCCCTCCGCCCCCTCTGGGTGACCCCAGACGACGAACTAACTCCCGAGATGGTCGATGAAATCAAACTCTCCTTCCACCCCGTCGTCTGCTGCACCAGTTCCCGCCGGGTGGTAGGTACGGAGATGAGTGAAGAAGGGTATATCCAGGGCGCGGGTGATGACACAGAGAACTGGGCGCACGGACTGACGGCGCCGCTGTTTTGGGCGAACCAGAGACAGCTGTTGGAGACGCCGGAGGGGGATTTACCGGGCTTGATAGAGATGCTGGTTGGGAATTCGGAGGCGGGCGGACAAGCGGTGGGGGAACTGAAGAGGGTTGCCCCGAGGCTGTTGGTGGGTGCGTTATCGGCTGAGGAGAAGGCGCTGACTTCTTCTTCCCAAGAAAACATTTGCGTGGTTAGTCTCGTGCCGAAGACGACGGAAAAGGAGACGTGGGAGAAGTCGAAGAGGCATATGGAGGTTGGGCTGGGGAAGAGCAAGACTGCGAGCCGGTTCTTGAGAGAGGCACTGCCGAGTATTTGCGACTTTGTCTCGCGGTTCCTGCAAGAATGCGCTGATGCCGATGCCGAGATGGGCACGGGCACGGGCAAAGGCGCAAACAAAGAGATTGTCTTGTTGTGCGAGTCTGGTAGGGACTTGTCGGTTGGAGTAGCACTGGCTCTTTACTGCTGGTGCTTCGTCGACTCGGCTGGGACCGTCAGGTCTGCAGCGGACCAGGGGCAGAATCACAATAAGGCTTCCATTCGGGTGAAGCTGGGTCATATCATGACAGCATTTCCCGATGCCAACCCGAGCAGGGCAACTCTTCAGAGCGTAAACAGTTTCCTGATGGACTGGCGGAACTGAAAGGAATTTGTTCTAATTGAATGCAAAACCAAGAAAACACGATGGATATCATCTAAAAACGCCCTCTAAAAGTCACCCTTCTCGATCGCCGCCAAGTACCCCTCAAACTGGTTCCAGTCCCTCATGATGATAGAAGCACCCGCTTGTGCCAGGACCTTCTCCATCTTAAGTCGTTCCTCGGCCTTGTAGGGTCCAACATAACCAATGACCTTGATGCCCGCCCTCGCCGCGCTTAGCGTCCCGCTCTTGCTGTCCTCGATCGCCAGGCACTCCTCCGCCTTCTTTCCCAGCTCCTTGAGCGCGTGCAGGTAGATGGCCGGATCGGGCTTGCTCGTCGGCGGCTTCAGACTCGTGGCCGCGCTGAACACTCGGTCGCCAAAGTACTTGTCCTGGCCGACCTTTTCAATGCTGGCCTTGACGCGGCGCAGCGCCGAGCTGCTCACAACCGCGAGCTCGTACTTGCCCTCGGCCGCCAGGCGCTCGAGCACGCCGTCGACATTGGGGCAGGGCGAGAGCTTTTCCTGGATCTTGGCGATCACCACGTCCTCCTCCTTCTTCACGTACATCTCCAACTCCTCATCGGTGAGCGGGAAGCCGTACCGCTCCTGCAGCGAGCGCAGCATGCCCCGGAAGTTCTGGCCAACAAACTCAACGATGAGCGATTCGCCCGTGAAAGGCTTTTCGAGCGGGATGTTTTTGGTGGCGGCGATCTGGTTGATCAGGTCGGCGCAGCCTTCGAAGGCAACCTCCTCCGAGAGGACGAGGGTGTTGTCGCAGTCAAAGAGGAGGGTGTTGATCTGCGTAACGGACTAACTGTTAGAGATCATTCGTACAAATCTATTTGGTCTGGGGGGATGTCTCTTGCCTTGCCCATTTTGACTGATTGGTAGTTGATCGTTTGCGTTGGGTACTGAAAGTGTCTTTAGATGATGACGTCGCTAGCGTTCTTCGGCCGTGATCTCCAAGAGTTCTCGGTTAAGACAAGCAGCCGAAAGGATGATCGTGATGAGCAAATGGGTATCACGTAAACACGAAGCAAGTTAAGCTATGAGCAAAAGTCGTGTACAGCAAGAGTGAAGGCACGTCTGCGAAGAGGCGAGGATAGAGAGCGAGGGTGAGTGCGTTAGGTTAGAGGTGGAAATAATAGCCGTTTCGTTGGGAGAAGAGAGGATAAGAGGATGAAGGAGTAAATGGTGAGAGGAAGGAAAGAGCGGGAGAAAGAAGCTTGAAGTACCTACCTACGTAAGGTAAGCGAGAAAGAACTACCTCTAGTGTACTTACTGAATCCCTAACATGTGGATATTACCTACTTCCCGGTCTCCTTTCCTAACCCACTACATATGCCAAAGTCCAAGGCACAGAACAATAACAAAAAGGAAGGACCCCTGGGACCAATGGGCAGGACAGGACAGGACGGACTCGTGCATCGCCGGTCTTGACCACGGTTACGAGGTCCGTTCCTGAAACTCCACCTCACCACATCACACATCACTGCCGCGCTCGGCGCTCGGGGACCACACTGACAAACCACCAAACTGCTGAACCTTCGAGACGGGATTCGATCGATCTTCTCGATCACTTTCTGAATGTTGCTCTGACCCCTCACATCACCCTGAGCACCTAGCACCCCCTCTCGTACACCTTTCTTTTCCTGAAGAAACGTGCAGACGGATGCCTTCTCCAGACAGGATGTTGATCGGCGTCAGAGTAGTGGTAGTGGGGCCCCCGGTGATGTCATTGGACAGAAGCCCCCACCGTGACATAGAGCGGGGTCCAGGAAGTACGCTAAGGGAATTCTAACTTGTTAACAGTAGCACTAGAAGATTGCTAGAGCGATAGCTAGTCATCTAACTATCATCATCAATGAGACCAAGAACATCGTGCAGCCAAGGACAGGCCTCGGTCGAACCATGTTCGCGAACAACACAGCAACAAAACCGAAAACAGGTGAAAGCGCTCGATTCAAATCCGAATCCAGAACCTCACAGAAACTTGGACCCGGACCCTGCAAATCTTTTGTCCAACAAAAATACTTATCTAACCGTAGACATGCTTCCCTACTTAACCCCCATTGAGATCGGCACCAGAATGGTGATCAAGTCAGCAGTAGAGCAGCCATCAGAGTCCCAAAAAGAAAAAAGAAAAACAAATGAAACAGAAAGCAGTATACTGCGTTTAAAAAGCGACAACGAGGGAAAGGTAAGACCGAGTGGTTACTTCCGCTTCCGCTCATTCTCCCATTATGCCGCGTTTCCCGATCGACCAGCCAGCCGGTTATATGTAATCCTTGGCTTGGCGGGGTGTTGGAATGGCTGTTGGGTAGACGGGCCGACCTAACAATGTCGTTGTTCCTCTTGTTTGTACTTTCGAAAATCCCGTGATGAGAGCCAAGATGTAGTGAAAAGTGGACAAGTTGAATCATCGGTCTACTTGGGGGTTAGCGGTGGAGTCTTTTGCCAACCCCCTCTTATAAAAGAGGGGGAAAATTTTCTGTGGGACAACCGTTTAATCTGGGACAGCCCACATAGAATTTTACTAACAATCTGACCCATCCCCATACTAAACCACCACATTACACACTACAACAGCGTTATTAAAAGCTATTAGAAATTTAGTATATTGTTTAATAAAGTAATAAATAAATAAAAGAACAAATTGCAATTATTACTCGTTATTTTTTAGTGCTAGCGCCCCCTCTACTACTAGTACTAGTACTAGTGCCACCTCCTCTACTACTAGCGCTAATGCTAGTACTAGTACTACCTCCTCTACTACCGCCTCCCTCCTTACTAATATATTTTTTATACGTACAATTTACTTTCTTACTAGTATTTAAAGTTTTATAATACTTTCTACGTACTTTATAACCCTATAGTATAGCGTTGATTCGAAAGACTGTAATTGTAATAGAGTAGAGGGGTCGATAGTTAGTATTAATAGTCTAATTTATATAGTATAAAGTTTAGGAGTAGCCGGTAGGTTAAAGAGACGGCGGTTAACTGATTAGAGTAGTAGTAAATCGACCTCCTCCCTTCCCTCCTCCTCCTCTTCCTCCTTATCCCTATTATCTTCCCCTTTGTAAAATTCTCTATAGTTAACTTTATTATTATTATTAATTAGGGTAATTTCGTTTTTAAAGAGTACGTTAACTATTTAAGTATTAAAATAACTAATAATATTAGTAGTAATTTCGATAGTGGGTTATTAAAGTAGGCGGAGAGGCGAGGATAGGGGCTTTAGCGGTTGTATAGTAGAAGAATTATTACTTAGATTAATATTAACCGAATTGTTAAATAAAAAGTAAAAGGGGTTACTCTATACTTTCTTAAAGACTGCTAATACTAATATATTAACTATATCGTATATAAATAACCTGTGACAGCACGATTCTGGGCATAGGCAAGGCTGGGCCAAAGAAGCCGATTTGAATAAGTCAATAAAGCTAAAGAGTAGAAGAAAGGAAGCAGCCGAAGGCTAGTAGAAATGTTTCGGGTTTAAATGCCGGGTGTGCGTTTCTGCTATATTTGACCGCTTTAGAGGGGTGCGATAAGGCGTTTGATAAGGCGTGCGCGATCGTATAGGTCTGGTCTGTACGTGATGGGGTATAGTATTTGCTAGTGCTATAATATTACCCCCCCCTCGGAACGAAGGTTTAGCCTTAGAGCCTAAAGAAAAAAAAGAAAAATGTTAATGTACAAAAAAAAATAATAGTTCGAGCGTAATTCGAATACGAACGCTTTCCAGGCAGAGGATAATTACCTTCAGGGCGGGATTTTTCGAAGCGTCCGGTCTATTACTTCCGTACTATTATATTAAATTACCAATCTTATAATCGTATTTTATATTAAGTATTCCATTATTAAATTACTTTAATATTATACCCTCTACTACTTTCTTCTTTTTACTAAGTAATTTATTAACCCTTTTTTATTAAACGGCCTGATTATTGTACGAACGATTTACTTACCTAGGTTGGCTTGTCGTTGTCTTTATAATTTATTCATTCCCTATTGTGTAGTTAATCCTTCTCCTATAATTTTAATTGAATTGGGGGGCTGGGTTTATCTGGGTTATTATAATAGAATTTTCTAATTACTATAAGTAAGTTCTTAAAGTTTCTAATTAGCTATTAGGTTAGATTAGAATTTTAACCCTTCTATTCGACTTAATAATATAGGCGTCCGTAAAGGAATTTTAGAATTAAAATCCTAGTAATTTCCTATTCTTCTTAATTATCTACTATCTTACTTATTAGATTTTTATTCATTTAGCTTAGTAATAGGTTATTTAAATCCTTTTTAAACCGGTTAGTATAATTGTCACGATGCCGACCAGGAAGGACTTGGAGAAGACGTAATATTGTACGAAGAGGAGAAGATTAGAAGAGAGTAGCGAAAACTCTATTCCTAGATTATATATATAAACTAAGTGGAGACTTGATAGAGCTAATTAAAGGACGGTTAGATTGTAGTAGCGGAACGCCGAGAGGGATAGGACTATATTATATAGTACCGTAACAATACCCCCGGCCTTAAAACGTAATTGACCTCAATTACAAACAAAACAAAAGTACCGCAAACTCCCTGCTCCCCTACCGTAATAGTATTGCTATATACTTACGTTCGCTAAAATGTATTATTAGCCGTACGCTACCTGCCGAAAGGCTATTACCTTTAATAATAGAAATAGTACTATATTAATCCTAATTTAATTTTAGTAGTATAAATACTATATATTGCGTATTTCCCTTACTTCTTCTCTCGTTCCTTCCTTCTATTCCTATTCCTTCCTTTCTTTTTTTAATAATAATATATTATTACTTCCCTCTATAATAGTATATTACTAACGAAATACTTATATTCTATTTTTATTTTACTATTGCTTTCCCGCTATTATTATAAATAAAGAAAGTTTTAGAAGGAAGCGTATACTATGTTACTAAAATAGTTAAGGGATATACCGCCGGCTACGAAGCTGTAATATTAACCCTCGTACTTAAATTCGGCTATATACCCTATTTTTATTATTATAACCTAAACGCTAAAATTAATAGTACTACCCTACTAAAGATCCCCTACCTTCTTCCTATAAGGAAGAAAAAGAAGTATTACTATTACTATATATTTAAGGATAATTATAATCCTATAAATACTTTTAAAAATCCTAAATTTAAAGCCTCGTTAATAAAATAAAACTATTCTACTAATAGCTAGAAATATTTTTAATACTATTACCTTAATTACCTAAGCTACTTTTTTTTAAAAGAAGAAGGATAGTAAATTTATTTAGGACGAGGCTATTTGTATAAATATTGCTACTAAAACGCAGAAACTTCTCAAAAACTTCGTAATAATTAAAAAGGATATTTGTAATAATTAGGGATTTATTAATATTAAAAAGGCTATTAAAAAAATTGTAAATAATATTATATTAATAAGGTACTAATAAAGGTATTTAAATGAATTATTAACGTTATATTAGTATGCTAACGTTTATATTACCGCTAATTTACGTTGTAATATATTTATAACTACCGGCAGTCTTCGCCCCGCTTTTAATATACCTATAATCGAACGCTATATTTAAACTGAAAATATTAAGCCCTATTTTATAAAGGGAAATACTAATTACGTATAATAAACCCTAATGAAATTCTAATTCTATTTTAGTATTAAAGTTAAAGTGTTTTACGTAGCTGCCGATACTAAAAATACAACTCTTAAGAGTATTAAAGAATTTATTAACTAAATTATATTCAATTATCTAAATTAAATCGAAATATAAAGTAGCCGCTTTACTTATAATATACTAGCATCCCTATATCGAAGGTACTATATTACCGAAACTAGAAATTAGGTTCTTTATTAGTATTTTAAAAACGTAATCGATTAGGGTAATTATAATAGGATATTTAAATAACGTAATTAAAAAAGTAATATAGCTATAGCGATTCGCTATTAAATATATTAAATGAAGTAGTCCTATATCTTTAAAATTATAAAAACCGTAAAAC